AGAAATGTAAATAATAATAATAATAATAATAATAAAAAAATTGGAAGGCCTGTGAATGAAGAAGAGCTTGCTGAATGCTTAAAGAATAGAAACTGGTAGCAAATCAAGTGCAGGTCAGTGAAAGAGATAAGCACATTCATGCGCTAAGTCTCTTGATAAGTGAGAGATATTTTCCTCTTTCCAACCCATAGAATCATGAGTTGCCATTTAGGCCATCAAGCCACCCTCTTGTGTGTGGGAATCCAGATTAAAACATCTCTGATAGCTGGTTGCGTAGCATCTGCTTGAACCTATGCAGCAGGGAAGGGAAGCCTACCACTTCTCTGGGTAACAGTTTCCATTGTCAAATGGTACTTTCTCTCAGGAACTTCCCTAACATTCACTCAGAATTTGCTTTCCTGTAATCATGAGCTTCAGAAGACGCTTCCTGCCTTTGTCCAAATCATGAAAGCAGCATTCTGCTGTGGAGTTGCAAGCTTTGCTTTTTGGAAGCAGGCGGCAATGTCGTAGTGCACCTAGAAAAGGGGGGAGCGTGCTTTGTGACAATGCAGTGCTGCTTTTGTCATCTGCCCCCCTCTGGCCCCCTCCTATAGATGCAGATCGCCTGTAATTTAAATCCATGATTCCATATCTTGCACATTGGAACAGTCTTGACCACTCTTGCATGTGTTTGAACAGTGCTACTTTCTGCTATTTTATTCTATATTCTACTGCCTTTGAGACATAATGGCATCCCAAGGAAGTTTATAGTGAATGCATGTTTAAAATACTTGAATTAAAACGTAAGTATGTTAAAACAGCAAACAGGAAAGGTGCAGAAGTAAAAAATAGGTCCAGGTTTAAGTATGATGCTTCGTCTCCCACTCTGCCCATTTTTTCTAGATACGTGAGCTGTGTCTTACTGGCTGAGTTGGAATGCAGTCAATGGAGAAGGACCCAGCCCATCTTGTAGTCAGTCGTTTGAAAATTACGCTTGTGGTCCAGAAAATCACTATCCTAGTTACTCTTTTTTATTTTGTGTGTCTGTATGTTTTTTTTTAGGTATCTCTCTCCCACAAAGTCTCCGAAGAAAAAAGTTTCTTCTGCTTTTGTGTATTCTTCTCCAGAGTCACAGGCTGCAGGGTTAAATCAGCCTCAAAAACCATACAAATCTATTTCTTTGTCATATTTCTATAAAAAAGGTAGGTAGATTTTAAAAGCTATTTTCCAAACATGAGCCCTGTTTTAGAAACCAGAGTAAATCATGAAGGCAACAGGTGAAGGGGCAAATTAGTCAACTGCAACATTATCACTCTGTGTGTGTATGAGTATCAATATACATATAAATAATGGTTTGGTCTTATTTTTAATCTATAAACAAATCTCTCCTCCAGTGTACTGCTTGGCTTATAGACGACTAAATAACTTATGTTTGCGTCTTCTGTCTGATCATCCTGAACTTGAACATTTGATATGGACCCTTTTTCATCACACGCTGCGAAATGAATATGAACTGATGAAAGACAGACACTTAGACCAGGTAATGTATCTGACCGGATGGGCTTATTTTCTATTTTACCCTTTTTGTTTAGATTTCCATGGAAATTTTACATAGCGCCATTCAATGTTTTCAAGGTCTGTTAACAGTTAAAGCAGGGCGGTGGTGTGCGCGCACATGCGCGCGCGCACACACACACACACAGAGTATATGAGAAGCTTGGTGATAGGTAAGCAGATTCAAACAGTAACAGATGCACAGTAGAATAAGCACACAGGTTAGAGCTTTTTAGAGCCTTCTCTGGAGTGGTGATGCTGGCAAAGAAAACATTACCTTCCAACCACCTTTGGATCAACACAGCTTCTAGGAAGGTCAAAGAGAACCCTCAGCAATTGGTTGTGGCTATACAATTAATAATTTTGTTGATAAAATTGCTTGCATACTGTCCAACCTGGATGCTACTGTACAAATAGTCCATCTGGCCACGTTTGGATGAATATTCTTACGTCCATGAGTATGGGCATTGCCCGTGTCCTAAGTGTCTACTGTCCACTTAATTGTTCTCCTTTGTAACTCCTCTTTGGGCCCAGATCATTCTAATAATTATAATTATAAGCTTATCAAATCAAATCACCCTGTGTCCACGCACAATGTCTATCTGTCACTGGTTTTATCTGACCAGGACCCTGACATATCTTTCCAGGTTGCCCAATTTTATGCTGTCATTTGTTGTATCTGTCCTACCTACGGTTGAAGTTTAGCACAAATTTTGGTCATTGGCACTGCAATTTGTACTACAGTTATTATAATAATGCATTTTGTGTAATTTTATTGCAATTTTTAAAAAGATTTACATTCTATTAATAATTATAGATTGTGTGTTTTATTGTTGTGCTTTCTGGCCCATAGGCCATAATAAGGCTTATTTAAAGGATTTCTTTTCTAGATAAGGTAATTCGAACCAAACACTATTGGAGGGAATTGATTATTTAAATATATTCTCAGTCCCAGGTTTTCTACCAAAACTGTCTTGATGTGTTCTAGTAGAGTGACAACAACAAAGAGGGATAGAGAGAGTATGATTCCATTATATTCCTTCTGGAATACTTATCACTGAAAGCCGATATCCCTATTTTAGAGTTTCAGGAAGATATTTCAGGAAGATGTTAGTAAAGGATTCAATTTCATTTCCAGGGTTGGCATATGATTGGTGCTCCATATCTATTTCTCATGCTGTTAAACATCTACATGATACTTTCTCAGGCTGGTGCCCCAATTATTTTGGAGTACAATGTTTAAAAGATTTTGTTTTTTGTTAAAATGTAATGTTATTTAATATTACATAGTTTTATTGTTGTTTCTTACACTTCATTATCCTGAAATGTTTAAGTTGTTTTGATTGTTTTAATAAAAATTACATATTTTTTAAAATTATATCAGTGGTCCAATAGCTAAGGTCCTAAACCTTTTTCAGTTCTTGAAAAGCCTGGATGAGCTTTCTTTAATTACCAGTTGTGATGGCTCCTTTCTGCTTTTAAACAGATTATGATGTGTTCCATGTATGGCATATGTAAGGTGAAGAACATTGATCTCAGGTTTAAAACTATCGTGACAGCATATAAGGAACTCAACAATACAAATCAAGAGGTATGGGAAACTTTTTAGCATTATTTGTGTTAAACCTCTCATTTTATCTTGAGTATCTTTGCAACAATGTTAGGTAACCAGGAGCTTCCGGACATCACTGTACAGTGGTACCTCGGGATACGAACTTAATCCGTTCCGTGACTCTGGGCGTATCCCG